CCAACCCCGGGGGAGGGGGGGCTAAAATTGGGATTTTCTCCAAGCCCTGGGGGTGTTTTGGATCCCAAAGGGGGGGATTTGAATCCTCCCAGGGGAGGGGTTTATTTTCCCAGGGTGGGTTTTTAATCCTCCCTTGGGGGGGTTTAATCCCTCGGGGGAGGGATTTAATCTTTGTGGGAGGGGGTTTGATTCCACCTGGAGGGGGTTTAGTACCCCCAGGGTGGGTTTAATGTGGGCAAGGTGGGTTTAATTCCCCTTGGGGTGGGTTTAATTCCCCTTGGGGTGAGTTTAGTCCCCTTGGGGTGGGCTTAATTCTCCTTAGGATTGGTTTAGTCCCCCCAAGGCTGGGTTTAACTCCCCTTAGGGTGGGTTTAGACCCCTCCAGGGGGGGTTTAACTCCCCTTAGGGTGGGTTTAATTCCCCCCAGGGAGGGATTAGTCCCCCCCAGGGTGGGTTTAATTCCTTTTGGGGTGGGTTTAGTCCTCTTGGGGTGGGTTTAATCCTCCTTGGGGTGGCTTTAATTCATCCCAGGGTGAGTTTAGTCCTCCCCCAGGTGGATTTAGTCCCCTCCCAGGGTGGGTTCAATCCCCTTAGGGTGGGTTTAATTCCTTTTGGGGTGGGACTAATCCCCTTGGGGAAGGTCCAGTTCCCCCCCACAGTGGGTTTAGTCCCCTCCAGGCTGGGTGCAATCCCCCCCAGGGTGGGTTTAATCCCCTTGGGGTAGGTTCAATCCCCCCCAGGGTGGGTTTAATCCCCTTGGGGAGGGTCCAACCCCCCCCAGGGGGGGTTTAATTCCTTTGGGGGGGGGTCCAACCCCCCCAGCGTGGGTTTAGTCTCCCCCCCGGGTGACTCCAACCCCCTCCAGGGTGGCTCCAACCCCCTTGGGGTGCATCCAACCCCCCTCCAAACACTCCTTTCCCCCTCTTCCACCCCCCCCGCCCCCCCCCCCCCTCCCCCCCCCCCCCCCCGGGGGGGGGGGGTTTTCCCCCGGGGGGGGGTCGCAGCCCCCCGTCACTTCTCGGGGGGCTCCTCGGGGACGATCTCGACCTCGAGCCGCCCCACGTAGAGGGACAGCGAGGCCGCCCAGAGCAGGAGGAGGAGCCCCGTGAGCGCGGCCGAGGCGGCGGCCGCGGGGACCGCGAGGAGCATCGGGCGGCGCAGCAAAGCCGAGCTCAGCACGTAGGAGACCCCCCCGTGGGACACGCACAGACCCCCCAGCAGGAAAAAACCTGGAATGGGAGAGGAGAAAACGGCTCGTGAGAGAGGTGGGAATAACGCGGGAATGGGGAAACCAGCCTGGAATTAAAGAGGAATTAAAACTAAAGTCAGGCTCAGCAGGTAGGGGTGTCCCCAAGAGGGTGGGTGACCCCAAAGGGGGGTGGATGTCCCTGGGGGGGGTGGGTGTCACGAGTGGGTGTCCCCATGGGTGGGTGGTTGTCCCCAGGGGGTTGGGTGTCCCAGGGGTGGGTGAGTGTCTCCAAGGATGGGTGGGTGTCCCCATGGGTGAATGGGTGTCCCCAAGGGTAGGTGGGTGTCCCCAGGGGTGGGTGGGTGTCTCCATGGGTGTCCCCAACGGGGGTGGGCGTCCCCATGGGTGGGTGGGTGTCCCCGTGGGTGTCACGAGTGGGTGTCCCCAGGGGTGGGTGCGTGTCCCCAGGGGTGTCCCCATGGGTGTCCCCAGCACCCACCGTAGGCCGCGTCCCTGCCGGTGTCGCTCTGCACGAAGGCGATGACGCCGATGCCGGTGGCCAAGAGCCCGTTGCGGAACCAGGCCAGGAACGCTGGGGGGGTCGGGGGGGTCAGGGGGCGGTCACAGGGTGGTCCTTGTGCCCCCCCCCCCCTCCCCCCTTTTCCCCCCCCCTTTACCCCCCGTCCCTCACCTCCCTCCAGCGCTTTCCGCAGCAGAACCGCGTCCGCCCGTTCCAGCTCGGACGGGGCGGGCGGGGGGGGCGGCGGGGGGCGGCCCAGGCTCAGCCGGGACCCCCCCGGGCGACCCCCGAGCCCCCCCCGCGACCCCCGGAGCGCCGCGACCACCGCTCGGCCCCAGCGGAGCATGGCGGCCTGGCCACGCCCCCTTTTCCGCGTAAGCCACGCCCTCTTTTAATACAGGGACACGCCCCCTCCGCGCACCGCCCATTGAGGCGCTGCGGGTGACCACGCCCCCTCTGTCTG